TTTCGGTAATTCGAAATTATGGTAAAGACAGAACCTAATTGGAAAACTCTGTTGGTCATGTCATACAATATTGGGTGCTAGTTGATCATGTCTAGAATCTGAAATTCTGAATAACTTATTTACATCTTATGTGTGTTCAACATGTGAATCTGAAGGGTTTTTCGTTTTAAGTTTAAACCTTTATAATGAAAAAGAAATCCCTTTGTGGTTGAATCATGGTGATTGTAAGGTTATTAACTTGGTACTAATTACTAAATCTGATTTTACCATTATGTAATGTCATCTTGCTCTCATTATGTGACCCATTTTTATTTTTATTTTTTATGACCATGACAAGTAACTCTTTTCTTCAGTGTATCATCAACAATGGTTCACTCCCATGCCTTCTGAGCCTGCTGACTCATAATCATAAAAAGAGCATCAAGAAAGAAGCTTGCTGGACAATCTCAAACATTACAGCTGGAAACAGGGATCAAATACAGGTAATCATTTTAAAATAAGTTATTGTATTGATTATCCTCATTTCTAATATTGGCTACTGATGTCTTTACACTCAATTATTGTATATTTTGAGAATATTCTTGTGTATTATTGCTTTATGCATGTTAGTTGTTACAATAGATCTCTTGTTAAAATATTGGGGTTTTCTGTGTGGACATTCTAGCATTTCGGCAGTATCTACTGTCCTAAGTTCTGAACATGACACGTCTCTCTAACATTGAAACTGATGGTTTTGTTTTACTAGTATCAACTTTTTCCGTTCAAGTTTGGAGGAAAAGTTCATCATACTAGTATTTAACTAAATATGAGATTCTCAGTTTATGTGGGAACTTTAATTAGATAACTTGCCGCAAGTATGCAAAGGTCATCTCTTATAGAAGTGAATCATTTGAAAAGCTATCATTTAAATTTGTGTTCATGAAAATTAGTTATCCATGTTTACTAATACATTTTAAAATGACGCAGTCTATAATTGAAGCTGGTTTGATTGGTCCTCTGGTCAACTTACTCCAACATGCTGAGTTTGACATAAAGAAAGAAGCTGCATGGGCAATCTCAAATGCTACTTCTGGTGGCACTCCTGATCAAATCAAGTGAGTGTTCTCGTAATTGCCGTCTTTCGGTCCTCTTGGTTCTCTAGCTGTAAGGTTCTTATTATGTTTGATTTTTCTTTATGGGTCTCAGGTACCTGGTTGGCGAAGGCTGTATAAAACCATTGTGTGATCTTCTTGTATGCCCTGATCCAAGGATCGTCACCGTCTGTTTAGAGGGGTTGGAGAACATTCTGAAGGTTGGGGAAGCTGAAAAAGCTGCGGGTAACAGTGAAGTTAATTTGTATGCCCAGCTGGTTGATGATGCTGAGGGTCTAGAAAAGATTGAAAATCTACAGAGTCACGACAACACTGAGATCTATGAGAAGTCTGTAAAAATTCTGGAGACATATTGGTTGGAGGAAGACGAAGAGACATTACCAGCAGGAGACGGATCCCAGCCAGGCTTCCGCTTTGGAGGGAGTGAGGTTCAGGTTCCATCTGGTGGATTCAACTTTAGCTGAAGGTATGCAAAACCAGTCTGAGATAGATGGTTATCCTAAATACTGCGACAGGTTCTGACGTAATTGTGTCCCTGTTATTTACTGTTTTGGTTTTCAAAAATTGCAGGAGCTTGTGATTGAATGGAGCAGAAGTTTCTGATGAGGGTCAAGTTTGGGGTCAAGTTGAGGTCAAGTTGGAGTGGGTCGGGGGCATCTTGTGTGTCTGGTTTCAGTCTGGTCCGGTGTCCATTGTCGTCAGAGATGCCAAGGTGGGTCAGTTTATTCTACTATGACCGAATAAGAAGAGATGGGTGGGTTCAGTTGTGGCACATGAAGTTTGGTCGGCAGGGGTCATGATCGCTGCCTCTTACCATGAAATACTATGGGAAGTGTCGTAGAGGCTCGTTGCTGCATGAACAGGGCCCTTGAAGGAATGTGCTGGTGAGGGTTTTCTTGAATGCAGCATCGAGTTTTATAATTTGGAGTCAATAGTTTGTACGAGTAAATTTAGTTTTTCTGAAGAGTCGGGGATTTGTTTTGCCTTGTCAAGTGAATACAGAGTTGATGAAGTCATTTTCTGGTGTATTGCAAGGAAAATGATTAGTGGTGTTTTAGTATTATGACCTTGTGATTGTTGTATTATATTTTTCTCCATATTTCCAATTTTTACACCTGGAGCCTAGTTTAAAGTTTCACCTCTAAGTTTTTTACTCCGTATTTGTCTCACTTGGTTTTGTTTAATCAATCTGTTTGTTTTCGTCTGATTTATTCAATCACCAACTTTTTTTTTAGGAAGAAAGCCATTTGTATGGACTATCGGGGTAGAGTTATTTTTGTTTTGGTTGGGCCTACCCACCCTATTTGTTCCACAAATCTACTGGGCCATTTAGTCAATGGGCTGGGCCTTATAATTTGACATACGAAGACGAGTAAAAAAAGGAGGTAATTAGACGATGAGGTAAAAGTAAAACATGAAACAGTACAATGTGTGTGTGTATTATAATACACAAGTGTTTATACTGTAGATATGAAGATAAAACTGAAGGAAGGGCATCGATTTCCACAAAAACCAACCGAAGGATTTTTAGGGTTTTGGGAGTGACAGAACAAATCCACACTTGGGAAAACGATGTTTCACATTTTTTGACCAGCAAATCGATATATTGCCGCAATTTTCATGCTTTTTTGTTTTTATCTTTTTGTACGCATGTGAATTGTTTTCATGCTGTTTCCCTTCCTTTTTTAGAAGCCAACTTTTCAGGTTTTTATTTTTTTTATTTTTATTTTTTGCAATTTGCAGGAAAGAAGATCAGTAATAAAAACCTCTGATTTTCTCAGAAGGGTAAAAGAAATAAATTTTGTATGATATGAACATCATTGAAATTTGAAGATTGCCCCCTATAGCAGCACAGCAGGCATGCTAATTCTGCGATATATTGATTGGGAAAATTACATTTTAACCTTTGTATTTTGGGGTATGTGATCCCAATGTGGTCCAGGGTTATTATTGGGATTGTGGTGGGGACAGAAACAAAAGGTGGGCCATCACCATGAGCTTTCATTTTCCTTTGCTATATCATATTACTGTCTTTCTGGCAAATTTTTGTCTCTTGTTTCCTTCCTATCTATCTATCCATACAATTACAATTTTACAAATACAAACCTCGTGAATAGCGGCTACGGATCAAGAGGCAAAGAGTTTGAGAGGCCCTCTTTGGTCTTTTCAATCCAATCTTTTTATATCGGCTTCTGTGTTTGGGTGAGTTTTTGTTTGTGATTAGGGTGGTAATGGGATGAGATTTACAGGATAATAAAGCTCATCTTTCATGTGTGGCTTTCACCTTGAGGCAGCTACTTCTACATGTATTCCTATGGCTCTTCAAACTCCTCAACCCTTTTCCAAAAAGAAAAAAAAAATAATGCATTAGGTTTGATAGTATCATTACAAATATCATATTTTTAGATCGCATTTATCTGTAATAGCACGCGATATCTAATGCATATCATTTATATGTCAATTGCTACAAAATATGATCTTAAAAAAATACCACTCTCTCGTCGTTGCTGTATTAGCACTTGATATAGAGAAGCTTTATCTTTTTGAATAAAAATAATATTATTATCTTATTTTATACAATGGAAAAGATTAGCACCCTAGACATAAATGAGTTTAAAAGGAATTACTTAATGATAATGTTAGGAACATTAAATGTATAAATAAAATTTTATAAAATAAACGATATAGAAATTGATGATTGGAGTATTACTTAACTGTTGATTAACGTGCTTATTTTTAATTGGTAACATAATATTTAGTTTGCAAATTTAGTCTACCCGCTAAAATACAAGTTCAAACAACTAGCCGATCCAATTATCTTTTCATGTTTTATGACAAGTTTTCCCAAACGATGAGAATACACAAAACTAGCAGATACTATATAAAAAAGGCAATTAAAAAGACAGGAGTTCAGAAGTTTTGGTTCACTCACAAAGATTTCAAAAAGTAGGTAATTATTGACTCCATCACAAAATAATATCCCTTTTTAGCAACGGGAAGAAAATTCAAATTCAAAAACTCACTTAACGTTAGAAATTAGAAGTAGAAATTCCATCGAATTCAATCACTACAATGGCTTCCCGGCAAAATTCAATTCACTTAACCTTACCATATAAATTTAGTATATATAATATAATACAACCATAAATGGATGGAAAGTTAAATGGATTCCGTTGAAATAAATTGAAATAAAAACCCAAAAGAAATGAGGTGTCATTCTTTTAATTCATTTTAATTATTTATTTATTTATGGTCAAATCAGAATTAATTTATTAACTTTTATTAGAAATATTTGGATTTGCCGCCAACGAAAACATGTTTTGAGCCCCCAAATGGTAGTTGGACGTATCAAACGGTGCAGAACCTACAATATCTCTGGCTCATTCGTCACTCACTCACTCCCATTCCAATTTCCATTTAACAAATGATCATCTATTACAATGGTGAAGAGGAGTATTGTTCTTGCATCACGCCGTGTAAAGTTTGTCCTGTCGATTTTTTAATCTAACATCTATCCTGACAAATCTATCATTTAACAAAAAAATAAGGAAAATTAATTAAAAATGCTTGAAAACTTTGAGTTTTAATGATAAGGACAAAATAAAGGGTAAAATGAATAGTACCAGGATTGACTTTTTAGTGTAAAAATATAATTTTTCGTTAAAGTGAACAATACCGGGAGTTTTTCGTTAAAGTTCCCAAAAAAATCCAAATGCTAAACCCAATTGAATTTTACCACCCAGTTTATGGCGCCCTTTTTTTTTTCCCAATTCATAAAGCTTTTGGCGCGGTTGGCTCCCGTTGGATCGGATGTGTGGTTTCTTCCCGAACCGTGGGTATTTTCGTCATTTCAGGTTACCCGGGCTAGGGTTTCTTTTACAATTTTTATATCTGCTGCGCGGCGGGTGTGAGTGTGTCGGTTTGTTTCCTCATTTTGCCTGCTCACTGCGCAGCTCTCTCTCTCTCTCTCTCTCTCCCTTCTCTCACGGCATGTCGGTTTAGTCCGAGTGTTTAGCCTTATCATCCCAATCACCACCCGCCTCCATTGCTAGCCTCCTCTTTTTTTCTCATTCTTTTTTCTCTCTGCTTTTTCGGAAAGCTTTTCTATAAGAACTTTTGATCTCAGCTTCTGATTTGTGATCGATCTCTTTCCTTCTGGTTCCTCTGTTTTTTCCATAGCTAGGGTTTTCTGAGTCACTAAAGTTTCTTACTTCACGAGAAACCAATCGATCAAATTGATTGCGACCCAGTTCGATTTCCCATCTTTTCTCGACTGGGTTTGTCTCAGATCTTCAAAATATCTCATACAGAATGTTGGATCCAAGCGATAAAGTGAGTTTATTTGATCCAGAGCTTTCATTTGATCTGGGATTTTCGGTTTTGATCCGAACAGTTACTGATCGGATCGGGTTTCTGTGTTTTTACAGGGATCGGAGTCGGAGGAAATGACTATCAAAACCCCAGATGCTGCGTCATCGGAGGAAGGCTTTAAGAAGACCTGCGCCGACTGCGGAACCTCCAAAACCCCTCTGTGGAGAGGCGGTCCGGCGGGCCCTAAGGTCATTTCACCTTCCATAAACCCTGAATGTTTTTGAAATTACTATTTTGGGTTGTGTTCTGATTTTTTATTTGTGCTTTGCAGTCGCTATGCAATGCATGCGGGATCAGAAGCAGGAAGAAAAGGAGGGCTATTTTGGGATTAAACAAAGAAAACCCCAACGATAAAAAGGGCAAGAAGAACAAGCAGCTCGGTGACGGCTTGAAGCAGCGTCTGCTGGCTCTAGGAAGGGAGGTTTTGATGCAGCGATCGACGGTGGAGAGGCAGCGGAGGAAGCTCGGCGAGGAAGAACAAGCGGCGGTGCTGCTGATGGCGCTCTCATATGGCTCTGTCTATGCTTAAGCCTATTTTAGAGTTAGTATTAAGTTATAAATAATGTTATTAATTTTAGGGTGCAATGGCAATTCTAACCTCCATTTTCAGTGTAATTTCACCCCCTTCTATTATCCTGTCTCTTTTATTAGTGGAAATTTACTTTGTTCTTTATTTTTTAAGAGTGATCGAGCAAATGTAGAATTTTGGAAGATCTTGTTCTAATTTGCTCATATAATTCTACTAATTTTGGTATATTATGCGGATTTTGCAAGAATTTTTTGGTCACTTTCATGAATGTTTCCCCTTTTGGCCCATCATCAAATACCAACCCACCGAGCATAAAGGTGGAAAAATGAAAGTTATCTTGTATTGAATGAGAATGTTTTCCTGCAATTTGCCTATTTGTTCTGTTTGGCAACTGGGAAAATGGGGTGAGAGTACAAGACCTTTGGAGGGAATTGAATTTTATGAACAAATAGAGGGAAATTCAAAAAAAGATTATATTTTTTGGTTTCTAGAGGGAAAGTTAGATCAACAAGTAGAGGGAAATTCAAAAGATTCGAGTACTTTTTGCAGGTGAAGTCTAACGGTTGGGGATATTCTATGTGACTTTTAGAAAGATGAAACAAGAAAGAAATATTGAGAGAATTTAAGATTGAGAGCACTCACTCTATTATTCTATTTTTCCACTTACATTATGATTTTACCCACTATAAAAGTTGAAAAATTAAAATGCTATTCCCCACCCATTTTTATTCTTAAAATACCTCTAGGAGAACAACCGGGTAGGGGCAGGGGAAGTCTGCCATTTTTCAATGGGGTGTAATATCTACAGTCATTTTACTTCTCACACATCCCTTATTAATTTATATCATTTGATCTTCAATTCATTCGATCCGACGGCCGAAAATAAAAAAGGTGTGTGAGAAGTAAAAGGAGGTGTGTGAATAACACATTTTTTTTTCAATATCTATTCCGTCAACACACTCATCCCTTCCTCCAACCTCTTCGTATTCTAGCCTGAATCTTTCCACCTACCCCTCTCCTCTGCTGAACCCTCTCTTCTGCCAAAAGGTCCATCTTCCATCAAACCCAGCCCTAATCCCTTCTCCTTCGTCTGATTCACCATCGACCCGACTTCTTCACCGAATCAAATCAATCATATCACCTAATCAACAAAGCAGCCCTTCTAAATGAACTAAATGAAGGAAGTTGAGGTTTCATCGTAAAACCAATTGGCAATATGGAGAGTAGCCCAACATCTCCTTTATCTTCACATCCTCACACGCTTCCTCACGTGTGGTGAATTTTCAAGCCAAACACGTGGACACACGAATTCGGTGACGTGAAGCACGTGTAGCTGTTGAGCGTCACGCAGCTCTGATACAATGAAGAAAGTTAAGGTTCCAGTATAAAACTAATTGGCAATATAGGGAGTAGCACAACCTCTTATAAGCCTTTGCAATATTTCTCTTTTCACCAATGTGAGACTCTTTAACCTTAACATCCTCACACTAGAAGCAACAATACCGAGTTTTAAAGATTTAGATATTAACATGTCATTTTCTAAAAAATCATTTATCAAATTGCATTTGGAAAGCACAAAACAATGGTTGATCATTGGGCATGTATCGTGTCTGGGGTTTTTTTTTGTTGTTGGATCATGTATGGGTATTTGGCAACAGAGAAGAAGGGTGTTTGTTACGGGTGAAAAGAAAAGTAGGGTCTAAATTATACAGTGGATGAACAAATAGGACAATGAGGTATAGTCTCAATTATAAAGTATAGTCTGAATTTCTAGGCAACTTAATAGCACTCAAGTTAATAAGCCAGACTGATGCGCCAATTTATTAACCAACACAAAACCGAACTTCTAGGCAACTTGATAGCGCTCCAGTTAATAAACTTGAATGATGCACGGGTTTATTAATCAACCCGAAACCATTTTTAAAGCCTAAATACTAAATTAACTAGTGATGCGATTTCAATGCTACGTAGTAATCAGTGATACGACTGTTTTAGTCATTAAATTTGATTTTCCTAATTATTTAAATATTCTATTTTGAATTTCAGTTACTTATTTTTCGTACAACTATATACTAAGTCCGATCGAAGAAAAATTGATTAATTAGATAAAAAGAATTGGATTAACAAAAAGAAGGAAATGCAGTGAAGTGGTATTTACTGCCATGCATGATGCATGCATCTAATTTTGGATTTGATCATGATTGTTATATGATGAAGACGGCTGCTAGGTCCTTGTAGCGCCACAACTATTGGTGAATAATAGAAAGACAGGAAGGAACTCAACGGATCGTCTTTTTCTTCCCAAAAGGGTAAATCCTGCATTGACTTCTTTTTCATTGTGATTTGTTTGTTAGCCACCCTATCAGGCAATGGCGCCGTCACTGTCTGCCAGAAGCAATAGCATGCACCAATTTACTTCTACGTGTGTGGAATTTAAAATCATTTGTGGCATGTATTTACCAAGAAAAAAACTTTTATTAAACCAGCTGGTTAATTAAGTCACTCGTACAAATCCTTGACCAAAAAAAAAGGTCACTCGTACAAATGATGAGTCCGTGTATTTGTATTACGTTGAGTAGAATGGTACTTAAATACAATTGAGTTCATTCTTACGTGAGAGTATTTATCATCTAAATGTTCGAGTTGCCATATTCAAGTTTTTCTTGTATTTATGGTCCTTATTGACTAAAGGTGACAAACTTGAATATCACGGATTCATATAATCCCTATTTTTTTTCTCCCTTGTTGTGATTTGTCATATGATGAGAGAAATAAAAGAGATTACTATAATTTTGAAATACATTCATAGCCCAAAACGGGATGAATATTTACTGAACAAGACAAGAGATTAACCCCCAAGATCACCGGCGGTCACCCACCACATCATAGCCTCTTGTCTTGGGGGGGGGGATGATGTTCTAGTTGAATATCAAAGTGTAGGATGAACAAACGAATACAAACTACGATATTATTCTATTAATTGAAATCAAATAAACAAGAGCAAAGACGACTGTAAACTCAAGACTATAAGCTTAGGACTAGATTGTGACTGCTTATTGTTCTACGAGATATAAAGCATCTATTTATAGTGAAAACTAACCTAACCCTAATAAGCAAGGAAACAAAACCCTAATTCTAACGGGTTAGGGAGAAAAACCTAAACATTAAAATAAACCTAAATATTAAAATTTTCCAACAATTCCTTCTACGATGATGTTGGACAATTGCATATGATTCACAATTCTAAACAAGAGTTGTATTAACTTGTTTCATGTAAATCTTTTTCTCGTAGATGATATGAGAGTGAGTCAAAGCAATACTTCCCTCCTCATAATGTACAAAATGAATTGAAAACCATGAATACATGCACAATGTATAAAGATTATGCGCTTGGGAGTGGGACGGTTTGTTGTTGTCTAAAAGTGTTTCCAAGCTGACAAGCTAGCTATATTATTTCCTTGTTTTATTATTTATGTCATGGACATATATACAAGACTATATCAAAATAATTAGTATAATACTCTTAAAGATGGAAGCCATTTAGTAGTTGGAACCTTAAAGCTAAGCGCAATAGCCAAATATGTTTCCCCCTTTCATGTCAACACTACTATTTTAGCTTCACCAAATAATAGCATTGAAAGAACACTATTATTTTAGAGCACTTTGCTACTAGATGGTGCACGGTTGTTGAATGCTCAAACTTAATATTCTTAATTACTTTTTGTGCCGGATTTTAAGAGCAAGTTAAATGACTTGAATCATATGTTAATGCGTATTTCGCAGACCAACATCAAATATTATATGATCTATTTTTTACTTTTAAACCAAATTGAACTAAACTCGTCACTTGTGTCTGTTTCCCCAACAAAACCAAAAGCACTCAATGCGTGCTGAAAATGATCACATAAACCATGCACCTAATCTAACTGCTTTGTAATTTTGATTGTTGGGTATGGACAAAACCTACCTTGAGTGCCGCAATACATATTGGGTGACGTAGAAACACGTATGACTGACCGTTTGGCTAATGCGTGAATAACGTGGCTCTACGGATGTAGCCACATAACGAGCGTCATAAGGGGCATGTCCCTTGTTTCTTCCTCAACTGCTTGACCCTTTGGATTCCGGAGTCCCTCCTGCCGTATAAGGCCCCTCCTCCTTTGTAGTCTAGCTCCGCCGGCTAGCTTTGATAACTTGTTAGAATTGGAATCTCCAACTCATAACTAGCAGGCAATGAATGAAGAGACATACCAGACTACTTGAACAATAAAATTAAATCTTTATAAAGCATATAGTTGCAAGTTAACTTTATGTTCTCTGGGTGAATGTTTCGGGGGTCAGACAGAATGTTGGATTTTGTTCATATGTCATGTTTTGGGTGATTTACTCTAGGGTCATTTTGGTTCCGGTCCTTAATCAACCTAATTGTTAGACTGAAACCTTGTTTGTTTAAATATTTTGATCAAGTCCTTAACATCATTTAAGAGATTTAACTCATGCATTTATGCATTTAATGTCCCACAAATTATAAAATTTAAACAAATTCAAATAATATTTTTAAAATATAATCAATACTTAAAATAAATATTAGAGTAATATTGTTCTTCACAAAATTATAGCAAGAAAATAATGTACCCATATAATTATTAACATATTTTAAAAATTAACTACTGATATATTTTAAAACATAAAATAAATACATATAATTAGCATGGGTACATTTAACAAAATAAAAAATGGGTACAAATAAATAAAAAATATGGGTACAAGTACAAATAAAAAATAAAAAATAGGGGCACAAAAAGAAATTAATTAAAAATGGGTACAAAATAAAAATAAAAATATATGATAAAAATTTAGCCATAAATATAAATATACTAATTGTAACATTTTTAACACTAAATGAATATATTTAGAAATAAAAAATATTTTATTATTGAAATAATTAATGATGTTATTAATACTCAATGACCTTGATCAAAAATTGAAAAGAAATAAGGTTTTAATCAAACTGAGGGATGTGAACCTAATTTTACTCTATCCTAATCCATGAATGGTTTCTTGTGTTTTGGGCGTGTTGGTTCCAGAAATAGAGAATGTACTTGTAAATGCAGTAGAACAAGTTGCATACCAGCAATACGTGCCCAAGTCCTCCACATGCCTTGTGCTTGTAAACTTTCCCCACTGCCTTTTCTTTGGAAGACTTGATTCTTTTCCTAATTCCCTTGGCCTTTACTTGAGCTGGTTCATTGATCATATGTTGTTGAAGTTTTCTTTTCGATGGCACTTCTCCAACACCTAAACTTGAGCGTAATCCTTTAATTTCAAATTAAGCGATTCAATTCCTTTTCTTACAAGTTGAGCTGTTCTTCCACAAGGGATGATTCATCAATTAAGCATTGTGAAAGTGAGACAACTAAATATGCCTCATCACTTCATCCTGGAGCTTTAAAAATATTGTTTTTATATAAACCACGCATCTTCTTTTCAATTGGAATAATGTCTTCAATTTTGGTACTTCGTTAACATTCACATGATTAGAAACCAACTCTTTGTGTCTTTGGTGTCTAAGTGCACTTTCAACTCTTTAACTAGTTGACATTCCTGTAGAAAATATATGCATATAAAATGTAGGGACCCATTGCTTACGGAGTTTGTATATTGGGTGCAGCCATTCATGATTCTCCAATGCACTGTGTTGCAATAATGCATGCTTCCAAATTGTGGCAGATAAGCTGAAAGCATTGGGCTTCATCAATCTCATTGTGTGGATCCTTCTTTTTGGAAGCTTATTTGGGGACTGCACACTATGCCTAAGATAAAATTCTTCCTATGGTGGATTGCTAACAATTGCCTCCCCACGATGTCGGGCCTATACCAAAAACGCTCATGTGATTCTCCTCTCTGCCAGTTATGTTCTGAATATACAGAAAGTACGGAACGTTCTATTTTGCTTTGCCCTTGGACAAAGGCTGTTTCGTTTGCTTCTCCGCTGAACTATCATATTGATATCCAAGCTATTACCTCCTTTGACCAATGGTTTATTGCTTTGGCATCTCTTGGGGAGGGCAATAATCTTCGCGGTCGCATCCTCTTTGCCGTGACCTTCTTTTGCTAGGAAATCTGGAAATCCAGATGTCACGCTTGCTTCAACGGCTTGCCTCCCTTTCCTTCCCTAACTGTCAGGAGGGCTATGTCGTCCATGGTGGAGTTCAATGCAGCCAATCCCCTTGAGATTCTTCAACCATCTCCGGTTGCCCCCATATCTAGCATCACTCCCTGACAGCCTTCTCCCTTTTCTTTTTTGAAGGTCAACTGTGATGCCTCATGGTCTATGGATTATAGGCGTTCTGGTTTGGGGGTGGTTATCCGTGACTCCCACGGCTCTTTGGTTGCTGGCAGTTGTGTTAGTGGTTCTGCATCTTCGGTTCTTGAGGCTGAGGCTAAAGCCGCGATTCTTGCTATGCAAACGGCAATATCTCGGAACTTGGACAATGTTCTTTTCGAGTCCGATTCTGCTTCTCTGGTCCAATACATCAATGGGGATAAGAAGAAGGTTTCTTGGTCTATCTTTCAGTTACTACGCCGGATTTGGAATCTCCATCACCGTTTCCATTTTTTTAAATGGTGTTGGGTTCCTCGCCAAGTGAATTCGGCAGCCAATTGGGTCGCCTCGCATTGTAGAAGAGGGATGTGTCCGGAGGTCTGGGTATCCAGAACCCCATCCGCTCTAGTTCATATCCTTTCCATTGATGGACTTCCTTGTCCCCAATGACTTAGCTCTTGGATGCTTGGTTCTTAAGGATAATGACTCAGCTAGGCTATATGTCTCCCCTATATGTCCTTAAGTTCCATGTCTCTCCTGCTTATGTGTTTTGTTCTTTCTTTTGGTCGACTTTGGCTTGTATTCTCTGTTGTTATTTATGGAAGAGTATCTCTGTTCAAAAAAAGAAAAAACAAAAGCTCAAAGCATTGGGCCTAGCTTTTGTGAAAACTTATCCTTAGACCATCTCCAACCCTTGGGCTAAAAGACAATTTTTTTAGCCCGAAAAATTTGACTTTTAGCCCAAAAACATCTTTTCTGCTCCAACCATTCTGGCCTAAAATTTTAGTCCGGAATTCTTAAAGAATGAACTTAGGCTAATTTTTTTCTTAAATCAATTTAAAAAAAATAAATATGTAGACTATTGTAAATTAATTTTATGAACATTTTAATCCAAAAAAATTTAAATTCTGATAAATATTGAAAAATCATTAAATTTTTTACAAAGCAAGCTTTCAACTTTCACCAACCTTAATTAATAAGACATAAATTTAATAAAGTACATAAACCACATAATAAACAACATAAACTTAATACAAACGACAATTAATAAACTTAATTAATAAAGCACATAATTCATACACTACATAAACTTAACAATCATATCCACCATCTTCACTTGGTGATGGACTTCGTTGAAATGTTGGGATATAGGGTTCAGAGGATTCATCATCTTGAAACATACTCCTTGAGACAAACTTTCGCATAATTTCCTTTTGCTTATCACGTAAGAACTTCTTCCTCTCTGGAGTGTATTTGCTGAGGTCCTTCATCATGAATTCAATTTCAAACCTATTTCCCTCCCTATCCGAGATTTCCTTCATTTGCAAACGCATTCGGGTCGCTTCTTCTTGGCGAGTGCTATGAGTTTCGTGCAATTTTGTAATTCCGGTAGCAAAGTCTCCCCTCATCGAATCTTGGGCCTTCCCTTTTCTCTTTGATTCCTTTTGCTTATCTCTTCCTGGGGGCCTTGCTAAAGAAGGAGATGGGGTCATTTCATCGACACCTTCATTTCTCGGTGCGGCTTCACGTTGAAATAATCTTCCCCATTGTTGGTCGGCATCGGTTGCCCACCTTGGACAATCCTTGAGGACGTCCCAAGCATGTTGCAACTTAAAAACTTGATTTTTTTGGTGTTACTCTTGTCTTGTAAATTTCCATTGCTTTGTCACCCTATGCAAAAAATACATAAAAATAATTAGTTGCAAAATAATATTATGTACATGACAAATAAAATATCAAGAAAAAAACTCACAATTTCTTTGGCGCTCCTTCCACTAGGCATGCCAACCATGGCTCTCTCCAAGCTTCCCTTCCATAAAGTGCATGCTTTGTTGATAGTCTTCCACCGATCATAAACACCACCACTGTCCCGCCCGCTGCCGTTGCAGTTTTCTTGAAACTTTGCAATGATTTTATCCCACAAAACCTTTTTATTTTGATTTGTGCCAACTGCACCATCTTCGCTAACAGAAACTCATGCCAAGCATAAAGAAACATCTTCCTCACAGGTCCAATTACGACCTCTAACATGCTCTCTTGCCATGTTGAACAATTTGGAAATGGAAAGAAATGGTAGAAAGATAAATTGGAAGAATTGTAGGAGAAAATTGAGTTTTGTGTGGATGTTTGAACAAATACATAGGTATTTATAGAGTTTTTGGGTAAATTTTATGTTAAATAAATTTATTTAATTATTTTAGCCGTTGGATTTTAATTTGGGCCGTTAGATCTTTTTTTTACCGTTAGATTTGAGTATATTCAATCTCAACCGTAGGATTCAATGTATTTTAAAATAATATTTTTTAAAATGAAATTTGAATATGGACCGTTGGATCCAACGGTCCTTAAAAGATGGCCGTCAGATGCGGAAAAGAGCCGTTGGGCTCAGGCAAGTGGGCGACATGGCCTTGACACTGGGGTCTCATGCTGTCGGGACGTGATGGCAACCAGCCCGCGTGGGGCGCGTCCGCGAGTGACCGGGCCGAGACTGGCCCAAAATCAGGCGAGTCCACGCGTGTTTGGGGGGAATTTTGGGGGGGGGGGGGAATTTGGCCCAACTTTAGCATTTGGCTTTTAGCCCAATGTTTTAGCTTGGGTTGGATGGTGTTTGGGGGGAAATTTTGGGGGGAAATTTGGCAAATAGCCCAGGATTGGAGTTGGTCTTGTGTGCAAAATAATACTCGTGGAATGTAAGAGTAAAAACTTGAGCTGTGGCCCTTGATGTGGACCGCTAGGAATAGCTCTCGACCATTGCTTAAATAACTAAATGAATGACACAATTTTCTCATTACTTGACAACCCACAAGCAAATATAATTCTCTGGGTGTGATTGTTAACTCCTACAAATGGAGCAAAGATCATACTATACTTATTTGTGTTATAATTCGTATTAAAAGCAACTACATCACCAAAAAAACAAGTACGATTTTCTTGCAGTAGAATCAACCCAAAAACAATGGTTCAACCCTTATCATCTCTATCAATTTCGAAATAAAAAGATGGGTTCTTTTCCTTTTTTGAACCAAAATATTCAAGAAGCATGTCGGCATCATGTCCCTTGATATTTTTCTTCAAATCTCTTTCAACGTTTCTCAAATCCTTGTTAATACATCCAATGTTTGCAATTCCACCTGCCTCAAACTCCATTATTCTGAATTGTTGACTGGTAGGTACATTGCACTGCTTAGTGTTTCCATGTGAAACTTCTTTGCTTTCAAAACTTTGCAGTGTGAAGGTAGTAGAAGTACGTTTGTAGGAGTTGAAGGTACATGCTTATAATACTCTTCAAAGTTACAAATAGACCACTTCGTCCCAAACTTGTCAAAAGAGATGCTTAACTTTGCCTTACAACTCCTTCGTTATCTTTGCAAACAATTTGCCTTAGCTTTGCCTCATTCTTCATTATTCTTCTTTGTTTTATGATAAGTTTCGTCTGGTTCACCTTTCTTAGAACAACAAATTGTTTCAAGGTAATTTCTTTCGTTCATTTTTCTTCTTACTTTAACCCATTCTGACACTAAACCCAACTTTTAAATCATCCTTTTTCTTCTTCTCCTTCTTTCTCCTTGCACTTTCAACACCAGCAAAACTTTACTAAGCTTGGCACATAAGTCGGGGATGACTATGGAATTGACGGAGAGCGATTGTGCTCCAAATGAAACGAAGTCTGCGAGATAGAGAAATGTGTGGGCTGCTTTGGTGTGGCTAGCATTTTGCTGGTGTTGAAAGTGCAAGGTGACAGTTTATGATGATGATGAGGTCTTCGTGCTTTTGGTTTGTAGAGATTTAGTACGCGAGGCTTGAGATCAAGTTCATGTATAAAAGTGAAAGGAATTATTCTGGCTATATATGATAGGCTTGATAAGCCAACGTGATGATCAAATGAGTTGGTTATGTTTGCTTTCTCGTCTGGTTGTCATTCATGCATTGTTCTTGTAATAACGAAATCATACAGGATTTAAGTGGTTCGTCAATTCGGCTACGTCCACCAGAGTTGTATATGTATTTGTATTTCACTATGTAAGAGAGATTTACAACATACAATGAAGATGACTTAGAGCCTTTAAGAAATGGATGATGAAAGATGACTGGTCAGAGAAGGAAAGAGATCTTCTTGTTGCTCGGTGTGTCGTTGCTCATGCGTTCGTTCTTCCCCCCTTTTATAGAGAGATGAATCATATATATCAAGACTGAAGTTGGATGCTTGAAATCTTCACTTACGTCTCAAGTAGTCCACCTGTTATCATCTCATTGCAAGATTTGGAACAAAATCGAATAAGAGAATATTGCAGCCAAATGATTGATATCCCTATAGGTTGATGAGTAATCACTTCTAATACATAAGGTGTTGCCACCTGCATGATATATTAGACACACGTACAAGCTATAGACCTCCCGCCACCACATTTTAGAGTGGTGAGTAATCACCAAGTCATTAGTTCTCAATGATTACCAACTTACCACCTCATCTTTGGAGAAAATCAAAGACAAAACTACTCAAAATAGTCCCACCTCAAGCTCTCGGCTCTTTGTTGCTGGTTGTATTTTGAATTAAACCAAAGAGGCATATAGCAATGATGAGTTGCCATTAACAAGTAAAAAGCAATTTTAAGGCCTAACAAACAATCTAATGAGGATGGCAAATAATAGAAACCTCTCGAGCTAGGCTTAAGATTATATTCTTGTAGTGAAAGACTCTTTACTAATTTACATGCTAAATATACGAGTTCTTATAGGCATAATGTATAAAAGGAAATTGAAATAAAAATTGCTACAGTTGTAATAAAATTAAATACTCACATACACACACGCATATATATACTCGTTTTTTTTTAAGAATGGTATTACATGAACCCTTTTTTTTTTTTTAATTAATTCGTGCTATGCAATTTGTTTAGGTATAACACAATTATATAACCTCATTAATTTTCCTACCATTAGATTAATTCAGGGTTCATATAAAAGAGGTCTTTGCAGGTTCTCAAAATGAAGACCTCATGAGAGCAACTCTTTACATCTGAGTGTTATCTTTTCGAGCCAACCCCTACACTCTTGTAACTGATAATATTGTTCGACTTTCATACATAAGGAGTCATTTCTTCTTAACTTACACATATTCAAAAGTACACCTCTTACAACTACTAAAAAAGTTAGACGTGGATTGATTTGCTGGACAATGTATTATTCTTTTACTCATTATGCACCAGATTCAAATCTCAATCTCATAATTAATTTAGATAAATTTAATACAAATTATCTATTATTTGTAAAAATAAAATACTTTAAATTTATGTTTACGAAACAAATTCTAGAACTAGAAATGATGTAAAGTATTTTATTCATATAATTTTTTAGCTGGTATTTCGTTTTATGCAAGCGATAGTGATAAGGGAAGAATCAAACTTATCCTTGATATCTATTTTTTGAGGGGCCATTAGAATTTCGATGCA